CTTAGTGGAATAAGCGCTTCCCTGGCAAGTACAAAGGCCTGAGTTTAATCCCTGGTTCCGGAAAAAAAAAAAAAAAAAAAAAAATTAATATTTTGGTACTTAGAATCAAACTTAGGACCTTGCATTTGCCAGGCAGGCACTGGTCCACTGAGCTGTCTCCCTGGCCCCAGTCCCTAATTTTGGCTCTTGCCTTTCTGTCTTCTTCATGCCTTCTGGCCTCTCCATATCCTTGTTAATTGTAGCCCACATATAAGTATTAGTAATTATTCATAAGATATTTATAAATACTAAGCTTTCATAAATTTTTCCCCTCAGAGAGCTCTTGTATATGTCTACATAGCTGTGTGGAATGTTAATAAGAACCCACTGCCTAACGTTATATCTACCGTACCTTGGTATTGTTACTCTAACAATTTTGAAATTAAAAATAAGGGGAAGAGAATAACTATAAAAGTGGAAGTAACACTACATCCCTTTTTTATTTTCTTTGGGTAAAATACAACACCAATGAATAATTTTATAGTTGGCATTATTGACAGGCTTTATATTGCTAAACTGAATTTCACAATGCACATATTACTAGACAGACATTTATCTTTTTTTTTTTTTTTTTTTTTTTTGTATTTTAGGGAAGGGTCTACAGGATGTTCAGGGTCTCACTACTAGATCAGACTCAATGATCTACCTGTTCACACCCTCCCAAGAGCTGGGATTACAGGCAGGCGCCACCATGCCGTCTGAATTGCCGTACCCGGGTGCAGTGCGGGCAGGGCTGGCATGGCAGGCCTGGGGATCGAAACCCCAGCCCCTGTGTCTGGTTGCAGGCACTCTAATCCACTGAGTTATTTGGCCAGCCCAACACATATTCATAGCTCTTGAAATCTTAGAAAATTCCATCTGTATGGATCAGTCTGTGTGTCTATCAGTCTATTTATCTATCTATCAGTCTAACTATCTATCTATCTATCTATCTATCTACCTATCAGTCTATTTATCTGTCTGTATCTCTGTCATCTATCTGTGCTGGGCACTGACATCAAGCCCTTGTGCATGCCATTGAGCTATCCTCTTAATCCAGAATGTACAATTTTAAAGTTTCTTTCGTTTTGTTTTTTTGCGGGACCGGAGATTGAACTCAAGCCCTTGCACTTGCCAGGGAAGCGCTTTTTCCACTGAGCCATCTCCCCGGCCCAATTTTAAAGTTTCAATAATCCTCCATCAGATCAAAGTTAGGATGTTTCATAACAAGCCTGCCATGAGAAAACTACCACACTGTGTAGCCCCTTTGATCCAGCTCCATGGGGATTTCTGAACAGAACACACACAGCATGAACTCAGCATGCTTGGTACACCTGGGACGAGTTCTGATAATGTGTGTGTCTTTCAAATCCTATCTCTGGTAATTTCTTGAGTTTTCCAGCATTCAAACACTAGCTAACATTCACTGAAACAAGTAAGTTTGAGGATGACAGTTCACTTAGGGATTCTTATACCAAATTGTGTCATTGAAAGGATGACTGAGGGGCCGGGGAGATAGCTCAGAAGAATAAGTGCTTGCCTGGCAAGCACAGGATCCTGAGTTCAATTCCCAGTACTGCAAAAATAAATAAATAAATAAAAATAAAGGAAGACAGGGAAGCTCCATGTGCTCCTTGTGTTCCATGCTTGGTTACAAGGCACGATGAACTCAGAACAACGTCAGGGGCTCAGAGGCCTGAATTTTTAGACTAATGAGGTCGGCTATATCCTAGTAAATTAATGAGCTTGGTCCTGATCACAAGCAAGCAGATGATCCCACCCAAAATATTTTTGTTTTCTTACAATGGGGACATTGTTTACAACTCAAAAGTAGGTGACAGACTACTGGGAAACTCTCAGATGAACAGATAATTCTGTTCACTCTGAAAATCAAAGTAATTTGCACCCTCCTCCATAGGAAGGGGCCAGGGAGATGGTTCAATAGAATAAGTGCTTCCCTGGCAAGCGCAAGGGGCTGAGTTCAACCCCTAGTTCCGCAAAACAAACAAACAAACAAACAAACAAACAAAACCAAAAAACACATAGAAACTAACAAAAAAAAAAAAAAAACATATGAGTTTAATAAAATAAAAATTTAAATTTAAATTTAAAAAAATTTTTGGAAAGTGCCAGCCTGATAGCTCGCTCAGTGGACTAAAGCACCTGCTTTGGCAGAGCACAGTGGCCAGGGTTCCATTCCCAGCCTGCCGTGCCAGCCCTGCTCCTGGGGCGCACTGAGAAGGCGACTGAGACTGGGTATGGTGGCGCGTACCTGTAATCCCACAACTTGGGAGGCTGAAAACAGGAGAATCACTACGAGTCCTATCTACATAGTGAGACCCTGTAGACCCTGTAGATCCTGTCCTAAATACAGAAAAAAAATTTTTTTTTGAAAATAGGATATTTTTTTTAATTCTTTTTTTTTTTCTATTTATTTATTTATATTTATTTTTGTGTGTGTTTGTGTGTGTGGCCAGCTCAGCCCACCGGGGGCAGGGCTGGCTGGAATGTGGTGCATGAGGGATTGAACCGCGGTCCCTATGCTTTGCTAAGCTTGTTTCAAGTAGGTGCTTTAGACCACTGAGCCATCTCACCAGCCCTGAAAATAGGATATTATAGTCTACTGATGCTCAAAAATTAAAATTACAGCTGGGCACAAAAGTGTATACTTATTTCAGTTATTCATGAGGGTCATGCAGGAGGATCATGAGTTTGAGCCTAGCCTGGGCAACATAGCAAGACCCTCATTTTAAAATTAATCAAAATTACAGAAAGATAGAGAAAAAAACTAAGTGAGAAAAAAGACTGAAAGAATATATGTATGTAATATAGCTATTAAATATATAACAATATTAGTAGAGCCAGCTTTTTATTTCATAAACATACGTTGATTAGACATTATTCTTAGAGGGGCCGGGGAGATGGCTCAGTAGAATAAGCACTTCCCTGGCAAGCACAAGGGCCTGAGTTAAATCCCCAGTTCCGCAAAAAAAAAAAAAGGAAAAAAAAAAGAATTTTCTTAGAATATATATTTCATTGTAATAGTGATAAAGACAAAGAAAGCTCTAACATTTCTTTTGCTAATAAAAACTAAAAAGTTATAATTATCACCATAATATTTCACAAAGTATACAAAATTTTAATCTTTGTTTGTAACAAAATCTTTGCATCATTATTTCAAAACAAGAATGCATCTTTTGAACACAGCCCACCCCCCAGTGGACTGTTCCATGGCTGGAATCCACCCAAAGAGCTGCCGGTCATCTTCACATGCAGAGGAAATGCAAATCTCCTGCAAGGCCGTGCTAACTCTGAACCTGGGAGGAAGAGCTTAGGAAAGTATAGCCCTAAGCCATGTGTCTACAAAGCGGTTCCTGAGCGCTAGCAAACACCGCACCTGTTTTTCATCAGCCTCAGCTCTCGTTTGCGAGTGGCTTCTTCTGCCAGCTGCTGGGGACTGTGCAAGGTTCCCGGTGAGGCAGCCATCATCATGCCCTGGGGCAAAGCAGTAGCAGGAGCCCTGATCTGGTACGCTGGCATGTCACCCGTGGCCGCTGCAATGACACAAAATGCGAGCTTATACACACAGCCTGTGAGCTAAAATTTCACATCCAATTATCCTGGAAGCAACACACTTTTTACATGTCAGCAGAGGTGATCTTGTAATGTGGAAGATGCTTACCCTGAGCATGATAGAACTCCTCAATATCAAAGATTCCCGGCATTCGACATGACCATGTCGGTATGCTTTCTTTACTTAAGGTAGGAAACTGTCCAAATACATTTTAGACAACTTTTTATCAGAGGCTAAAGAAGACAAGCTTTTAAACGAGTCTATCAGCCTAAAGTCAGCAATGTGCTGAAATCTTAAGAAACATCTGGGGCAGGGTGGGCCCTGATCTTAGTGATGTTTGATAATTCCCACAGGAGAAGTGCTTTGACAGGGCCAATTTCAAAATGCCCCCTGAACATGAGTTGGAGAGAGAAAGGCAAGCCGCAATCTACCGCACTGGGAATGACGTGAGCAGAAGTTCAAGAGCACAGATGAAGTCATTAGAAACGATGGGTTCTGAGTCATTCATTTAAATGTGTGTGAGTATATGTGTGTACATACATATTTGATTTTTCCTAGGGGCTCACAAAAAGGCTGGAAGTGTAGCCACCCACTCAAGCAAGACAGCGAGAGGTAGCTTCAGGGCGGCAGTGCAAAATGCACTTCATATTGGGGGCATCCGGGTGCACCTGGGGAGAGGCTTGCTGTGCCCACAGCTCGCAGAGACAGAGATGCAAGGTTCTCTGGGAAAATAACCCAGGTAAATAACCTTGGCCAGGAAGACAGCTCAGCGGCTTCAGTACCTGCTGGGCCAGCACAAGGTCCTGAGTTCGACCCCTGGTACCAAAAAAAGAAAAAAAAAAAAAAAAAAAAAAAAAAAAAAAAGTAAACCTAGCTTTCTGTGGTTTCAGTTTAAAACCACAATAATAACAAAAGCACAGAAAATTCCTTTATAAAACGAGCTTCTCTGGAAAAAGATCATTTTGGTCTGTCTTTTGAGAAAATAATACATTTCTCAGTATCCTTACTTTTTAAGGAGAAAAGGGTTAAGTTGGTCCTGGCCTTAGTATTTGTTTCTTAAAAATATTTGCTAAATACAGTATAATTATACAGTTAAAAAGCGGATTCATTATTCACTTAGTATTCAAGTAGAATACTAAACGTAAGTTCAGAGTTCCCTGATTTATGTTTAGAACTTGTCTATCAACTGCAATAAACTTTGCTTTCTAGAAAAGACATGACCTTGAATGTTTCTACCACTAATACTTCAACTTTGAGAATGAGTGGCCCTAGATTAGTTTGATATTTTGATGAGGTATCACAAAATATTTATTTTTTTCAAAGCTAAATGCAAGAGGGCCGGGGAGATGGCTCAATGGAATAAGTGCTTCCCTGGCAAGTGCTAGGGTGTGAGTTCAATCCCTGGTTCCGCAAAAAAAAAGCTAAATGCAAGAAAAATGATTTAGAGCACATGCCTATAATTTCAGCACTCAGGCGGCTGAGACAGGACGATTACTACATAGTGAGTTCAAGGCCAGCCTGAAACACATAGCGAGACCTTGTCCTAACCCCCTTAAAATATGGTTTAGAAGTACTAAATTCTGTAAAAATCAATCTGAATCAGATATCAATCAAGAGAAAACAGAGAGGCTGGCAAGAAAGCTCAGCAGATTAAAGTGCCTGCATGGGTAAGCTCAGGGTTTGATCCGTGACACCACATGCTGCACCAGCCTCACCTCCAGGGAGGGCTGAGTTAGCAACCAAGTCGGGGTGTAGTGGTGTATGCTTGTAATCCCAGAGCTGAGGCTGAAGACAGGAGGATCACTAAGAGTCCGAGCTGCATAGTGAGACCCTGAGAGAGAGTGAGAGACAGAGAGGAGAGAGAGAGAGAGGAAAAAAAGATAGTACTGTCGTGTTTGTTAAATGTATTATTACATGTTAAGAAATTTTTTCCAAAAATAGAAAATGAGACTTTTTTTACTTAAATTGTATATTATCACTGAAAGAAACCAGGCTGTTATCGTTGTTTGGGTTTTTGACGAAGGATCTTGGCGTGTAGTCCAGGCTGGGCTTGGATCCGTGATCCTGCCTCAGCCTCCCAGAGTGCTGGGATCACAGGCATGTGCCATGTGCCTGGCCTGCATTTGTGGTTTTTACTTTTGTGACTATTTGAAGCACTGCATCTATGTCCTCTATGTTTAGGAAAACTTTATAGCTTTGGAATACTTAAGAAAACTAGTCATAGACCAAAGCTTTTTAAATGCCTTGCTGCACCGTTACAGGAGACAGGATGGAGGGCAGAACAGCTGGCCCTCCCTGCTGTTCTTGGCAGCCACCCCAGGAAGGAGGCCAAGGGGTAATAAAGGCTGAAACAATGCAACAGCTGGAGGCTGCGCAGACTTCTGGAACTGGAACAATGGTCAGTGATGAGTAAGAAGTCTACATGGCATCGTCTTGACATTTGCAGGCAGCCTGAGGGCAGAGCCGGTGCCAGGGCCACTCTTTCTGGATTCCACTCACAAAGAAGGGCCCCAAACAGAAAGGTGCAGCGGGTGCTTCTGCCCTCATCTGGCGTACAGTGGTGTTTTCTACAATATGGCAAGAAGCTGAAGCATGACGCAGAGAGCTCCTGTAGGAACAGTCATTAAGGGGGAAGGAGACACAGGAGGCCTTGACCGATGAAAGTGGGCGCCAGCGTGGGCCCCAAACAGCTTCTGCCTGTTTCCAAAGGCTGTAGCTACCCTTGAATGTTACAGTGGGCAGCACAAAGGACAAAGGTAATTCCTAATTAAGCATTTGTAAAACATTTAGGGCAGCAGCTCAGAAAAAAAACACTTTACAATAACTTGGAAGGAGATAAAACAGCTGGTATGTTAGTTCTGGGATGTTAGGTAAACCGGGAATTCTTAAAATGTTTCAGATCTCATACATTCATTTTATTTCCTTTAACACAAATAAAAAATTACAGTTCATTAATTCAAGTCAGAAATATGAATTAGTAAATTAGTAAGAATTAGAATAAATTTCTGTAAGACCCTAAAGGACCTATACACTGGTATATTTTTTCATGGTGATAGGGATTGGATCTAGGACTCTGCACTAAGTTTATTTTATTTATTTATTTTTTCCAGAACCAGGGATTGAACTCAGGTGCTTGTGCTTGCCAGGCAAGCACTTATTCTACTGAGCCATCTCCCCGCCCCCTGCACTAAGTTTAATCCACAGTCTTTTTTATTTTTATTCTGAGAAAGGGTCTTACTAAGTGGCCCAGGTAGAACCTGAACTTGTGATCCTCCTGCTTCAGCCTTCCTGTGCTGGGATTGCCGGTGTCGCCACCACACCTGTCTGATGGTACACTTCTACTGGTCAGTGGATAAATTCCATATAGTCAAACATAATATTACTTGTGAAGTATAATAGAAAGATGTAGGCAAAGAATCTCCTGATTTGAGGAAATCTAAATGTCAAAATGTTTTATTTTTGAAACAAGTTATGAAAGAGTGTTTGTTTTGGTAAATATCAGTCTCTCATACTGTTATGAATTCAGTGGCAATTTAAAGCAAGTTAGATCTGAAGATCACTGTTCAGAGCACCATCCTCCACTCTTTGGTGACGTATTTTTATTCCTATAAAGACCAATTCCTCTCCTAACTACTAGAAGTATCCAAATTATTTCTTAACCTAGAATTTCATTTTTATGTTCTGAAAATATATATTCATCCATGGGGGCTTAAACATTACGACTGGAAATAGCTAATGAGAAAAACATAGCTAGACACTGATTTCATTTTCAGGCAAGTCAAGCTTTGAGACAAGAAGGGACAGTACCTTTTCACAGTACTTGGCACAGAGTGGGTGCCCTGTGGGGTGCGTGCGTGCGTGCATGTGTGCGTGTGTTTGTGTGCGTGTGTACACTGGAGTACACTCGGAACATCCTGGGGCTTGGAGCGACTGCCATTTGCAGTATCTAAAATAAGCTTCTCTCCTGCAGACGTCTTTAGCACCCTGCCATGGGAAGCGCCACAAGTCGCTAGGTGTGCCTTCAAGGCGCCCTGCTTTATCCAAGGCACTCTCTCCCACATCTTCCCTTAGATACACTTTACATCCACCCAACAGGGCATTTTAGAAGGTCAGTGTTCTAACTGTAACGAATTTCCAATCATCAAGCTCCTGATACCAAAAAAACAAGGGGAAGGGGTGGATACAAATATTTCATGGGAAAAGAAAGCTGGAACTCTTAACTCTGGGCATTGGCTTCATACCTGTCTTGGCAAGCTTTAATCTCAAACGGTACTGTACAGCAGGGAAAGCGTGGGGTTTGGAGTCTGGGTTCTAGTCCAGCTCTGCCACTTACCAGCCATGTGACTTGGGGCAAGTTCAGGGTCCTCATCTGTAAAATGGGGATACATGGTCTCATTTAATACTCACAACAGCCCCTACAGTACATGTCAAAGTGCCTAGCACAGTGCCTAGCACGTGGACAGCACTCAGCAAATGTTAGCTCCCCTCCTCTTCCCTTCCTTAAATTCTGAAAGACAGCATTGCAAATTATGCATATACCATATATTAGTTACAAGGCTTATAGCATCTATACATACATAAAATCTCCCTTGACGTTTCCTTTCTACTACACCTCAGGAATCAAAACACATGGTGCTGATGTCTTACTTTGGGTCAAAATATGTCAAAAAACATCCCTTTAGGATATAAATTATTATAATATAAGTTATCTTTGTCAGTATTTATAACCATCTAAACCAGAGAAGAACCACAAATGACCAAAGGGTACATTCTGCTCAGAATGTAAGGAAGAAAACGGAAAAACCCTTCAAGTCAAAGGGAAAAACAAAGGCATAAGTAAGGAGCCCAGACAAATAGCTATCTTTTTAAAAACGCTGTCTTAATAGATTTCAAAGCAGAGTGATTTGTCAACACCCCAAATGATGATGATGTTGATTGACTATTTATTGGGATCTCTGTAGCCCTGAGCACAGTAACTGGATAAACACACCCAGACCCCTCCTCCTGGTCCTCTCCTTGCATCCTACCACACCACCATTCCTAACTCTTAGTCAGCCTCCCCCGAGCCTTTTGTTCCCCGCCATTGAAAATTTCCCCTGCCCCATCAACTCTACCTTCTCTGGGAAAACTAAATCCTACATCAAAATGACGACTTAAGCACTAAGCATTTCAATTTAATTATAATTACCATAACACTTAGACCACATAGAATTGTCCTTAAATATTTTTCAGCTTTCTTGGGATATAGCTGACAATGAGAATTGTGTGCATGCAAGGAGCAGGGCGTGCTGCTTTGAGATATGCATGTGTGTCGTGAAAAGATCACCACAACCGACCTAAGCTACACGCACCCTTTGCGGGTAGCTGCAGATGGCGCTGTTGCAGCCCATGTCACTCTAGCATGCATCTACCAGCGGCGGGTGAATGCTGACAGCCAAGCCGCTGGACCCAGGCTGTGTGCAGACCCACACCGGTGCGGAGGCGTCCTTCACCCAGTCTGATCTGCGTGGCGGCTGCCCTGTGCGCATCAGTAAGATGCTTCTCCATTTCCAGCCATCGAAAATTGTGTCCTCTGCAAGGTCGACCCTGACCCTGACACTTGCATTTTCTGCTTCTGGTGTGTCACTTGCAATCTGACAGGCGCTTTAGTCTGCTGAGCTATCTGATTGGCCCCCAACAGTTTCTTTGAAAGCATTTTTTTACATTTTTATTTGTTAAGCACGAATAAATATTATTAATCAGTTAATATTAAGTGATTTTTTAATATTCTAATATTTACATCAATGCAATATTTCTTAATTACATAATTAAGCAATATATCCATGCAGGGGGCCGGCGAGATAGCTCAGTGGTCTAATGCGCCTGCTTAGGCAAGCTTAGGCAAACATGCAGGAACCTCGGTTCGATCCCCAGCACCACATGCCATGCCAGCCCCACCCCCAGGGTGGGTTGAGCTGAACATAATATATATATTATAATATATATATATATATATATATATATATATATATATCCATGCAGGAAAATCAAGCAGGGCAATGTAAAATAAATACTTCAAATTAATTTAATTTTTTTTCAAAAATAGTAGAAAAACAGCATAATAGTCTTTTAAAATTTCATCCTCCACAGAACTTTGGAATTTTATTAAAACTTAATGTACTGAGTTCAATCCCCAGTTCTGCCAAAAAAAAAAAAAAAAACCAAAAAAACAACTTAATGTAGATAAGAGACCTGTGCAAGCACCTGCCTGGCAAGTGCAAGGGCCTGAGTTCAATTGGCTGGGGAGATAGCTCAGTGGAATAAATTCTTGCCTGACAAGCGCAAGGTCCTGAGTTTGATCCCTAATTTCACCAAAAAAAAAAAAAAAAGGAAAAAGATACTTGTTATTTTTACTTTAACATGATAACTTGCTTTGTTACCAAATTCAAGAAGCTATTAGAAGGCTGGGGATACAGCTCAGTGGTACAGCACCTGCCTGGAAAGCACAAGGTTATTAGTTCAATTTCTGGTATTTAAAAAAAAAAAAAAAGCAATTACAACCTGACCATCTTTTTTATTTATTTATTTGTGTGTGTGTGGCCAGCTCAGCCCTCCAGGGGGCGGGGCTGGCTGGAATGTGGTGCTGGGGGATTGAACCGTGGTCCCTGTGCTTTGCTAAGCTTGTTCTAAGTAGGTGCTGCAGACCACTGAGCCATCTCACCAGCCCCCGACCATCTTTTATATCAAAATTGCCTACCCAAAACCATTGTCCTTCTTTTTTTTTTTTTTTTCCAGAACCGGCGATTGAACTCAGGCTCGTGTGTTTGCCAGGGAAGCACTTACTCTACTGAGCCATCTCCCCCACCCAGACATGGCGCAAAAACCATTGTCAATAGCTTCCTTTCCCAAACATAACACATATCCTTGTCTTCATGCCTCAAGAATTAAGATACTGTTTTCCAAACTTGAATAGTGGGAACATTTGTTAACAATTCAACAGTACAGCTCAGATATAACTTACTGACTCAGAATTTGAAAGACAGAAAGTTTTGCTCGTAACATAGTCAACTGATGGATAAAACAACTGTAAAATGTAAATGATATCCAACAGATATACTACATCTACCCATTTTTATCATTGATTCCAGGGTTCTTTCCCAGACCAGTGATTCCTGGTAAGAGCCTGATTTTACTCAAGTTTGGCATTTCCCCAACTCTAAGTTGTAGGCCATTAGCAGGTCATAATATCATTTTCATGGCTCAAGAACAGCATTTTAAAAAGAAAAACAAAACCTATGGGTATTGTATTTGAAACTTGTTTTACACACACACACACACACACACACACACACACACACACACAGAGACATGATAAAAATGCTGCCTGTGGCCAAAAACTGTGCCAAGCCACACTTTACATCAGTCCTCTTGCTTTGCCAACCCATTCACCCAGGACTGAGAATCCAAAGGCCTGCTTCTGAAAGCCACTCAGGTATACCTTTGCGAAATTCCTTAAATCCTGTGCTCTTTTTTTTTTTTTTTTTTTTGCAGAATCAGGGATTGAACTCAGGCCCCTGCGCTTGCCAGGGAAGTGCTTATTCTCCCTGGCTCCGTTTTTTAGGGTTGTTTTTAACTCCCCGGCCCCAGTTTTTTAAAAAAAACATTTTATTTTATTTTTATTTTTTATTTATTTATTTATTTTGCTCTTTTGGTTTTTAAAAAGGAATAAATACTAGAATTTGGGAGGCTGAGGCAAGAGAACTACTGAGTTTGTGGCCAGGTTGGGCTACACAGTGAGTTAAAAGTAAGTCTGAATTACTTAGCAAGACCTGTTGAGAGAGAGAGAGAGAGAGAGAGAGAGAGAGAGAGAGAGACAGACAGACAGACAGAGACAGACAGAGACACAGACAGACAGAGGGGGAAAGGGGGAGAGAGAGACAGAGAGACACAGAGACAGAGAGAGACAGAGACAGAGAGAGAGAAGGGAAGAGAGAAAGGAAGAAGGAGGAGAATGAGGAGGAAGATGAAGACAAAGAGAAGAAAGAAAAGAGGAAAGGGGAGGAGAAGGGAAAAGAGGGAAGAGAAGAGAAGAGAAGAGAAGAGAAGAGAAGAGAAGAGAAGATTTCAACACTCAGGAGGCTGAGGCAGTATGATCACTGTGAGTTCAAGGCCAGCCTAGGCTACAAAGTGATCTCAAGGTCAGGCCCTGGCAAAAAGAAAAAAAAAAGGGGGGGGGGGATTTTTGTTTTTCATTTTTTAAATAGCTTTTCAGATAGCACTGATTCTGTTAGAACTGATCAGATTTTGAAAAACAATTCCAAAAGTATAATCAAGGCTTGTGAAAAAGTACTCTGTATTTGATATTTTTAAGTTTTAAAGATCTGAGCTCAATCCCCGGTTCTGCAAAAAAAAAAAAAAAAAGAAAGAAAAAAGTTTTAAGGATCTGGAAATATTTAAATTAAAAAGGGAAACCAATCATAAGTCTTACTGATAATAATGTAAAATTAAATTCTTCAAGGATGATATGCTCATTCTATCAACATATAATATAAAAATATTCCTTTAATTTACATGCAATCAATGGTTAAAAGTTTAATGTAAATATTTATCTTAACATTTGCTTTTAAATATAGTTGGTATCTTTTTTTTTTTTTTTTTTGCGGAACCGGGGATTGAACTCAGACCCTTGCACTTGCCAGGCAAGCGCTTATTCTACTGAGCCATTTGCTCGGCCCCTATAGTTGGTATTATCTTAACTTATTTTATTTACTGTAGTACTGATTTATGCTTAGTCAAATCAAATAAGAATTAAAGTTAGTTGAAAGAAAACTATAAACAAATTACAGAAAGTAAATGTATGCATAGAAACACCTTTCAAGATTCATGACAAGGGGGTGGGGAGATAGCTCAGTGGCTTAAGTGCCTGCCTGGCAAGCACAAGCTCCTGAGTTTGATCCCCCGAGATTCCGCCAAAAAAAAAAAAGTGTTCATCTAAGACTCATGACACACAATATTTTAAATCACTTTACATTTATCTGTCTCACACAACTTATATCATTTGGCAGCAATGTCAACCTGTAGCACTTCTTTGACAAAAAAGCTCCCAAGACAAACTTAAAAACAACTTCATGCACCTGAATTGGTCAAGAAAATGGAATATCCCAACCCAGTAAGAGGGCCAACAGCAACTAACTAACGAGCTAAAAGTGTGAGGAAACTGTAATGATCCATTCATTCTGAACTCAATCGCAAATGCACAACTGGATTACAAATAAACCCCCTGGAAAAACAATGTTATAACCACACAAAGGTCACTAGTAACTAAGTATTGCAAAATCACTTATCTGTAACTAAGAAAAAAGCAACCCAGATAAAGAACTGTTCATTACA